TTCACTTGTAGCTGTATGTTCTTCATATCTTCCACGACTTCCTGCAGTTTGAGCTCCTGCTTACGTAGATGTTCTTCCAGGGTTTTGAAGCGTGTACTCTCTGCCATAGATTGATCTCCGAGCTGCCGAGGATTCGTCAGCTCTGATACCAATTTGTCAGGCCCTTCCAATCCAGGATGAATTGGGGAATTATGATCAGAAGATTTGGGGAAAGTTTGAATGAGATAAAGACAGAAAAGAGAGGGAAGAATGAGAGAGTGAGGGAGAGAGAAAAGGAAGAGAGTTAGAAAATTGGATGAGAAATTGTAGATGTATTTCTTGTTGTTCATTCCATTACATTGTTCCGGATTTATACCATTCCAATGATGGATCCGAATCCAATTGACACAGAATTGCCGCGCACTAAACTGATACTAACAAATTCAGTTATAACTAACTTTTTAACAGCTTTTGGCTCCAATCAGCTAATTACATTGACACCCCTAAAACTTTATTCCAATTGCAATTACGCCCCTGCTCCTGACAGCTTGATCCCTTTTTGGTGGCAACTAGGCTAGGCTTGATTGTAAGACCAATGAGAGCGAAATTCGTCCGTACAGAAATGCTGTAGAGTTTCGAATGACGCAGGGCTGAGGGGCATCCCACCTCATCGCTGAAGTGTCACTCATTAATTAAGTAATTAATTAATTGCTAGACTGCTGGGTCAACTTAAACCCACCAGAGACCTTTGGAGAAGTTGGACCGAGTTTCGGAGGTTTCGGCTTCGGAAGCAGAAAGAGATTGGATCCGTCATCCAGCCCACTTGCCGTATAGGCTACACCTACCTAAAGCTAACTACTAACGAGACTAATGACAGTAACGGTGGTGTGGTCTGCGCTGATGTTGATACTATTAGTCGTCGTCTTAGACACCGTTTATGATTGATTGCGATGCGTTTATAAAAAAATTCTCTTTTAAGCACTAAAAGCATTTTTACGATATTTGATAATTAATTTTTTGCAACTTAAAGAACCCAACTTTTTTTGTAACTTTAAGCACTTTTATCAGAAGCGCTTCTTTTTTAAATCACCACAATTCCAAACAGAGCTTTAGTCCCAAAAAAATTGCGTTTAAATATTAGAAGTACTTTAGAGCGTTTGATAACTAATTTTCCGTAACTTAAGTTCCAACCTTTGATAATCCAAAAGTACTATTGTTAAATGCTCTTTGCTTTTGTGTTGCTTTGATGGTTTATCAGCCAATGATCCAAAAACATGGTAAACCTACAGACACACTCACGAAAAATGTTTGCTTCAAGGCACCCCACCCCAGTTGAACGATGAGTTTTTTTTTTTCTTTTTTTAAAGTAAACACTTGGATTTATGAACTTAACAAAATTTACTGCTTGAATACCAAAACTTACCACTCATGCATTGCAGGCAAATTGATCAGGAACAAGTGAAGAAGAGATGGAAGGAATCTTCTAAGCTTTGAAATGGCTGTGACCACAATTAATGCCGCTCTTCTTAATTCCCACGGTTCCAATGGATATTTATTAGTATTTCTTAAAACCTTTAGGAATATTGGGTACGTCAGCGCAGCTTTCCAAGTCTACCAATAACCTAGAAAGTACACGGTAGGACTTGACTTTAAATCAAGCCAAGAATTTTTGTGAGGAAAAAGGGTCAAATAATAACTAATAATAATAAAATAAAAGAAGCAGTCAAAACAATCAAATACCATATGTTAGACTGATAATCAAGATTTTTATTTCGGAAAGAGACTTGAAATGATAAATATGAGGTCCCAAGTATACAAAGGAAAATAATCTCCCATCAAGTATGTAAAACTAATACTACTACAAGAAATTATCAAGACACAAAATACTACTACAACAAACATTGATACAACTAGTTATTTGCTCACATCTGATCGAGGGATTTACTTCTATTTCGTTTCCCTGCACAGTCTTCCATAGATCATAATGAAATATTTTAGCTGTACCTAAAAGATATGCTTATCATCAAGTTTGAATGCTTTAAATACTTGTGACATGAACATTAAGACCTGTATGTCTTTTTAGCTGCAGTAGAAATACCTTACAATATTATGCTCTTAGTGGTAGAACGCCGTTTCTAAAATACTCTTGCATGGAAATCTGCATTCGCCTTTGTTGACATTTGGTAATTAAAGAAAGCCCTCTTTTGGGTTCCTGTCACTTCTTTAGCCAAGGCCTGAGAGCAGATGTTTGGTTCGTCCGTTCTTGGCAGAGGAAATTGTCGAAGGAAATTATGCCACCTTTTGATTGTTCTATCTTCTAGCAGCTTTTAGTAATGATGAGTTGACTGTTGGTTTTACTTTTAGTTGGCCTGTATTGGAGTTTGGGCCTCTCTACATATGTTCTGTTGTGGGATCGGATGTGATTAATTCCGACTTAGTCTCAGCTACCCTTCACAGTGTGAACTGTGACTGGGAGGGCTGAATAGAGCATGCAATTCAATATTACCTACCCGCTTGTCATTTTCACTTGGAAACATCTGAGAAGAGCTGAATAGATATAAAAATTCAATGATCGTCAGTAACTTCTAATATTGACGAAAGATTGTGGAAATTCTTGAGCGAAATTAAGATCTGTGGTCATGAATTTTATAACACAAGCAATTTGGTATAAAACAACTCTCCATCTTCTCTATTCTAGAAAGGGGTTACCAGTTTCCTCTTCTTTCTAGTACTCCATATGATGTAGTTTTAGGTAAAGATGATGCTTCATATTGTGATCATAGTTTCAGTGTCAATACTTCTCATTGTTGACACAAATCTAGTCTCAGTCTCAGGTTCCTGTCCCATAAACCTGAGTTATGTTCTAACTGTACCCTGGGATTCATCTGCCTGCCAGAATCACCGGCAGAACACCAAAACAAATGGTCATGAGACTCGTGACGGCAGCAGTCCTGCTTCTAGCATATGCTGCCAGACGCTAACCAGCCTCTACGGCATTGGCCTTGCTCAAAACCTGAAACAGACCAATCATTTCAGACTTCCAGACCTTAACACTTCCATTTCTTGTTTATCGGATTTCCAATCGAAGCTCGATTCCCTCTCCTTACCATCCCATCTGACATCAATGTGTTTTGAACCTGTGCATTTTGTAAAGGGTACTAATATGTGTGCCAATATCCATACCAAGCAAGACTGGCTGGATGCGGTCGGCCCGTCTACCTCCCTGGACCCTGCCTGCTGGCCAGACGTATCTGATCTGACTTTCTGTGATGCCTGTGTGCAAGCTGGTTTTAAGGTTCATTCTCAACTGCTGGCCGTTGACCGCAATAGTTCTCATGCCAGAGGTTGCTTTTACTACACCGTTCTATATGCTGCAGGTATCGTGAATCAGTTAGGCCCCGAGAGCTTAGGTGCAGTCTCGTGTATCTTTGGACTGCCCATGTCCTCGAATAGGAGATCTGATTCTGACAGTATGGGGAAATTAGCTCTCGTTTCTGGGGCTGCTGCAGCTGGTTCTACTATTGCTGTCATTTGTATTTTAGTGGTTTTTTACACTTTCTGGAAAAGTAGGAGAAAAAGGAAGAGATATCCAGAAGACGAAAAGGCTTTGGAGGCTGACCATGATGTTGATGATGATGATGATGATGATGATGGCTCATGGCGAAATTGGAGCCCTATGGCTGGATCTTTATGGTTCAAGATTAAAGAACTTGAGGAGGCAACTGATTATTTCTCGCCGAAGAACTTCATTGGGAGAGGTCAATTTGGAATTGTGTACAAGGGAATTTTGAGGGATGGGACTGTGGTTGCTGTCAAGAAAATCACCGACCCCGAATTTGAAGGGGATGCTGAGTTTTTAAATGAAGTTGAAATCATCGGCAATTTGAGGCATCGAAATCTAGTGTCACTAAGAGGATGTTGCGTCTCAAAAAGAAATCAGAGCCATAGATACTTGGTTTATGATTATATGCCGAATGGAAATCTAAACGATCATTTGTTCTCTTCTCGAGAACGTCATAAAAGGATTCGCAGAAAGCCCTTAACTTGGCCTCAGAGGAAGAACATAATCTTGGATGTTGCCAAGGCTCTAGCTTATCTTCATTATGGGGTAAAGCCCTCGATTTATCACAGAGATATCAAGGCCACAAACATATTATTAGATGCACATATGAGAGCACGAGTTGCAGATTTTGGGCTAGCAAGACAAGGTAGAGACAGTGGATCTCATCTTACAACCAGAGTGGCAGGAACTCATGGATATCTAGCTCCTGAATACGCACTTTACGGGCAATTGACTGATAAGAGTGATGTTTATAGCTTTGGAATCGTGGTTCTGGAAATCATGACCGGGAAAAAAGCTCTGGACCTGTCATCCTCTGCTGATTCTCGCGACATATTCTTTATCGCAGATTGGGTTTGGTCACTTGTTAAAGTTGGGAAGATGGAGGAAGTTCTTGATCCTTCACTGCTGAGAAATGCAGAGTCAACAAGCAGAAATCCTATGGGGGTAATGGAGAGATTTTTGATGGTGGGAATTCTGTGTTCTCATCTCATGGTGGCTTTAAGGCCTAACATTTTGGATGCCCTGAAAATGCTTGAAGGAGATATTGAGGTCCCTGCAGTATCAGATAGGCCAAGTTATACTGATAGAAGTACCTTATACTCTGTATATACATCCGGTAGGCATCAGATAAAACAATCTGTTTCATAGCTCATATTTGGTAGTTTACTTTTTTTAATATACATTAAAGAAAGCAGTTTCAATTCAAAATTTTGGACCAGATTATAGCTCTTAAGAGTTCATATACTATAAAATCATTGGGGAAGCAGACACATAACTCCATTTGAAACAAGTCCAAGCTTTTGCGCTAGATGAGCTGACCATTTCAACTACTGACAAAACATCAATCCACTGATATATATTACCCATATCTCAATGGTATGAATATGATATCAACATAATCTCTTCCTTTGTGCGAACAATGATTAAAAAAAAGAAAAATGAAAGGAATTCACGGCTTCAAAGGTTTGGTTTTTGGCCATTTACCTTGCATTCTAGAGGAATTGTTTTAGAGACATTACTGTCTCCTTCTTTTCCTACTGCAAATTTGTAAGTTCCACCAGTAAATACTGCCTCCCTCAGAAAAACTGCCAGCCTCAGAATGCTACAGGTTAATCGAAGCCGGACTTAAATCCTGTTTCCAAGCACAAATGCTAAGATTTTACCTATCAATCATTTTCAACATGAATATTATTCGGAGATTCCTCTGGCAGCTAGTTTTGGGGCATATGCATTTGGTTTTGATTCCCCAGGAAATTCTGCTGTGCAGCATCAATCATCAAGCAATCGTTCTTGTAATGTACGCACAGATGCGGACTTTTCTCGCCTACAATGCAAGACTTCTTCTGACAAAAAAGAAAAATGTAAGTACTAGATGTCAGCAGAATTTTTATTCCAACTTCTTTTTTTTTTCTTCGAGTTTTTATGATTGCCTGAGACCATGTGAAATAGATAAGTATTAACAAAATGAAAATCCCTTTTTATATTCTAGCATTACACATTTTCCAATAAAAAGTATAAGAAGATTTTTCTTTGTACATTTCTAACAGCCAGAAATTCTACGAGATAAATTTCTTGAAAACAAGTAGTAATAAAGTAAGAATTTTTGTAATGCATGTCCATTGAAAATCTGTTAACGGCGGCTAAATCCCACTCAATCTATTACGTACATGCACCCACTAATAGTTAATTTCTTCCATTATATTTATATAGTTTTCCTAATTAAATTTACTTTTCCAAAAATTTCACACATGAAGTATATCTAAACAAGTGTCCGATGCACATCACCCACGAAGTAACGAGGAAAAGAATTTCGACCAGTACCGGCCGTTATATAATAAAAAAACGCTCCATAACCCTTCCTACTTTGGCTTTGCTTACCATTTCCGGAGATCATACGCCTTACTACACAACTGTACGGTCACAAACTCCGCAAAATTCTCTCCTTTCTTTTTCTCTCTCTTCCTTTCCCTCTGCGTCTCTCTGAAACCTTTGGTTCTTGCATCATCATCTATCTGGCTCTCTTTCTCTGTAGTCGTCCCTCGGTGATGGCAGATCCTGTTGCGAGGTCACCTCCAGCGAATTTGTATAGCATTCTTGGAATCTCCAAAGCTGCATCCCTTGCAGATATTAGCAAGGCCTACAAATCTTTGGTTATGAAATGGCATCCCGATAGAAATACATCCAATAAAGCTGAAGCTGAAGCCAAGTTCAGCACCATCAACGAAGCCTACAGGGTTTGTAACATTATCCTTGGAATTATTTCTTGATGAATAGCCCTTCATCATATGCATTGTTTGTTTTGTTTTGTTTTCCATCTCTCTGTTCCCTCTCCCTTCAAGACTATATCTATTAACACGTTAAATATCATCAATGTCCTCCCCCCTCATGCAATGCATGTAGATCATGCAAAAGCTTTATTCATCGTAATTTTGAAACTTGCAAAATTGTCCGAATTCCTTGATGCGCGATATTCTTCACATTTTCATTGACACCATTGTTGGGTTTTCTGAAAAAATAAAAACAGGTTCTGAGTAGCAAAAAACGAGAGGAAATAAATGGACCCAGTCATGATGATCCAAAAACACCGGAAAATTCATATCACCATCGATCCTCCTCGGATGATGATGAACAATTCGTGATTTCCAGCCCTACGCTGCTTTCCAGCACAAGCACCCGCATCACCCCTACAGGCACTCCAAGGTCGTCGGACGGTTCGAGCCACAGGGGAATCTACAACGGTGCTCCTTCGCCCAGAAATTTCTATGGCCATTCGAGAAGTCCCAACGGGACTGATACCCCATCAACCCCGACCACCCCAGAGCCACCCCTCGTTTCTTTATCAAAAATAACCAGCAAAAGAGCCACAAACCCCATTATTTATTCACAGACTACAGCTCGGAGGAAAGCTCAGCCCATACAGAAGAAGCTCGAATGCACGCTGGAGGAGTTATGCCACGGATGTGTCAAGAAGGTCAAGATAACCAGAGATGTCATCTCAAATGCAGGGTATGCTTCACCCTTCATCATTTGTCTGAGAGGCTCTCCTCCTCTTTTTTTTTCTTTTCGAAACCACCAATTTTAGAAATGAGGACTCTCTGAGAGGCTAGAACGCTAGATACTTAAAAACTTTTTAAACAACGTGTGATTCTGAGAAAGCAAATATTAAGGATCAATCTAGCAAATGAAGCAACAAAATGGCCTTACCTACTTACATTAAGTAATTGCAGAACTGTGTTAATGATATGTACTACGTCATACTCAAGAATCTTCTGATGGCATTTACCATTGTGGTGGTAACAGGATCATTGTTCAAGAAGAGGAAATACTGAGGATCAAAGTAAAGCCAGGGTGGAAGAAAGGAACGAAGATCACATTCGAAGGGAAGGGGGACGAGAGACCGGGAATGCATCCAGCGGATATAATCTTCATAATCGATGAGAAAAGACACCCCCTTTTCAAGAGAGAAGGTGATGATTTGGAGCTTGGAGTTGAGATCCCCTTAGTTCAGGCTTTGACAGGATGTACAATTTCTGTTCCTTTACTAGGAGGGGACCAAATGGATTTATCCATAGATGATATAATATTCCCAGGGTACGAGAAAATCATTCCCGACCAAGGCATGCCCATTTCTAAACAACATGGTAGGAGAGGAGACCTTCGGCTCAGGTTCCTTGTTGAATTTCCGACAGATTTGAGCAAACAACAGCGCTCGGCAGTCGTTCGTATTCTAGAAGATTGTTGTTGATATCAGCAAGACCTGTGTCGTTGTTCCTCTGGTCTTTAGCAGAATTAATCAGTTTGCCTCACAGAAATATGTAAATGGTGTTAGTATTAGGCAGAACATCAATGTACTGGCTCATATAGATATGCTAAATTATCTCTGAAGATGCATCCCAGCAATACATCTTTGAATAGAACAAGCAAATTATGCATTGCCGGAGATGACTGAGCTTTGAATAGAACAGAGAATTTTGAGATGAGGAAGTTCTAGGAACAATATGCAAACCTCTCTTTCTTTATATTAGGAGTTCATGTTAACATATTTTTCTTCAGTTTTCCATGTAGCAATCTATAAGGTAACAAGGCTCGAGCCACCAACACTGCAAACAAAATGAATATTGCTATACGGCAGCATAACCAGGTTTTTGGCAGGAACAAAAGCTTTCACAAAGTAGCCCTAAACCTCCAATCTATTGTTCTCGCAGATGCTCAACTTCACCCGTCATCTTTCCAAGCAAACTAAAAAGCCATGTAAACATATTGAGCTTCTTGAAATCCAACCAAGAAGGGTACAAGACTAACTAGTCTTGCCTTGGTACTTGAAATCAAGGTGTCAAGTCTTTGATAGCACACGCTGTTGAGCAAGAAAAGGCACTTCCACCACTGTCCCAACAACATTGCCTCCAACAATTACAGTGTCTCCCTTCGATGCAGCTTTCCTCTTGATATAGCCTAATCCAAAAGGCTCAGAAGCTCTTTTACCTGCTGTGATGCTCGTCAACTTGCCAACCTGCACAAATTATAACAGATGTTTATTTTCCAAATAGAGAACTTCATTTAAGTAGGAAAACAGATTAAGGGACCAGGAATAAATCAATTTCCAATTGTAGTTGCTGTCTAATCCAAAACAATAAACCTCCTTTATAACTTATCCCAACAAAGAACAGATCATTCTCGAGCATAGTGCTGCATTTGAAGTTTCCAAAGTCAAAATGACTTACAATATATCAACCCTTTACAGAAATGAAATTTATGTGATGTGCGTACACAATCAAATCAAGATTTAGTTCAAAAGAAAATCCGCACCTTTTTCCCATCAACTGTAACAGCACTGCCCACTTCCACAAGTGATGATAACCTGATACCCCACAACCTCTGCTTGACACCATCATATGTTACAAGTCTAGAAATTGTTTCTTGTCCCTTATAACACCCTGAAAATTACTTACTACATGAGAACAATGACAAAAGCACTGATTCACACCAGTATATCACATAGGATATCATGGACCTTTGTTCAAAGAAACTCCATTCCACAGATGAGCCTCCAGAACATTAAATTCATCTGTAAGCTCTTTACCAGGAGCTGGCCTTCCTGCTTATGTTGATCACGTTAGAGCTCTATATCATAAACATGAAATGATTGAAAGTGTACCCAACAAAAATAATAATAATGAACAGAAGAGAACACATAGCGAGCCACTGGTAAAAGTAAAGAAGGGAATAGAAGGACTAAAACCCTTGCCCCTGGTTGGTAGACCCTCCTCTCCTCCAAGGGGCAGGGAATAAGGCACAGTGGATCTAATATCCACATCCACTTGACATCCAGTACCAAAAAATTCTTCTCTGGAGAGTATTTAGATCATTGCCACAATATCTATCTCTCTCTCTCTCTCTCTTTTTTATCAAATTATGGATAAAATTATCCTTTCTACATTTTCTTGTATCACCCTTCCCTCCAGTGGAGAAATTAGACCTTTGCTTCATTTGACTTTTCTTTCATGCCAGACACAGTATTAGCAGTACAGAAAATGCAGGAAACAGAGTAAGATGATAAAACTAAGCAAAGTTTGGAAATGCCGTTGAGGGAACATGTCATGTAAGGCCAAAATGAAACAAGGTTATATCTAGAATGGCAACTTTAATTTGGAAAAGATTCAAAAATTCCTAAAAAAAAAATACTAAACTGAAGAAGATACAAAAAGAAAACCTTGAAGAATCCTAAATGTTTCCCATGCGCCAGAACCCATTGTGATTGCACCTTGGGCAACAAGAGCTTTCCATACCGTTCCAGCACTATCTGATGACATCAAGAATGAAAAACCTTCCTCAGAAATAACATTTCCCACAGCTACAGTTACAGGCTTCCCATTTACCTGCACAAGTGAAAAAGTTCATATTTCTTGGATAGGAAGTGTTGTTGAATTAGCTAACAATCTTACTCATTCCAAAGACCTATTTTTGCTTTTGTCTGTGTGTGTGTGTGTGTGTGTTAAATAAGAATATTAAGCCAAATAAGATCTCCGATGCAATAATTATCCATAGTGAGAATGCTGGGATACAGATGAGGTACAGACCTCAACATGTCAAATCATTTGCACAAAATAACTGACCTTCATATATAAAGACAACCTTATAGTTTGTTCATCCAAGACATTGCAATTTAACCCATTGTCCAGTATGCTAGGCTATCAACACTTCTAAGAAATTGGTGAAGAAATGTCAACAACTAAAAAACAACGCAAATGACAACAATGAAGTCATTTGAGTACTGGAAGGGGAGAGAATTTATTGGTGTGCTTTTATTCAATTATATGCATAATAACCAAAACCAGGAAACTCATGTTCATTCTCTCCTTTCTCACAATCACTCAACAGAAGCCCCCCTGCCCCCCCCCCCCTCCTCCCAAAAGACACAAAATTCAGTTTAGGAGAAAAACCAATAAGAACTACAGAGATTAGAAGTACACATGGAGATCTGAAATTGTGAGTGTATTATATGTTGGCTGTTTTACAGATTTAACCAGCATAGACATTCTGTTCAACTCTAATTGACCAGATAGAAGGAAGACAAACAATTAATGGATAAATAGGAATCTTTAGAGGTATCCAATTGAGATATAGAAGCCATGTAACACCAATAAAACAACACTATCAAACTACTATTCTTTTCATCAGCAATGAGTTAACTCATTAGGAATTCTTTGGCATATTCATTGGTGATTAACCATGCATTCAAAAATCATCACAAGCAGCCCAGGCATTAAAATTTTGTCCACCAGAAATGAGTATTGGCAATTTGGTATGAACATTTGAGAAAGTTTTGCAGATCAAATTACACTGTAATGTTTATGTGAGCCATAAGGCTGTCCAATAAGGTCGATAAGGCCCAATCTCTCCATTATCTGTTCATGAAACAAAACATAGAAATTAGTTTGGTGCAAAAGAAACTTAATGTAGGTACTAGTAACTTCACTATTGAACTTAGCATTGCTTACTTGGTTGCTTGCAGGTCCAACTAATGCAAACATGCATGTTTGCTTGGTGATGTCTTGAATTTCTACTTTATCAGAAATAAAAATGTACCTTCAATCAAATAAAATTAGTATGCAATTAGAAAGTCTTACCTGTTAAAAAAATATATTAATTTGGATGCCACAATCACAAGATAAAAATAGCTTTTTTTTTTCTTCAAAAGTTATTTGCCTCAGTAAAATGGAATAAATTTCTAATATCACAATGGAAGATTAAGGGTTCTTGCTCTGTATCACACTAGCTCTTTTACCACCAAGGTTTAAACAGTGACAGGATACAGTTACAAATGTAACAAGGAAAACAGTCTCAAAATGAGCAGTATCTGACAAAAGAAGCAAGGTCAAATTATGCACAGTAAACAATTTAAAAAATTAATCTTGCAGTATGAACATACTTCTCAAGCATTTTAGATATGCTTTCACAGGTCACGGGAGAGACCACCAATGTAATTGCATTTTTCTGCAGACATAGCATATCAACATATTCTTCCAAAACCGATAGGTGCCAAATATTGGAAAAATCCCACAATTTAATTAGCCCAAGAGCAGGGAAGAGCTACCATGATCCATGCAAGCGCAATATCAATTGTCCTAGCTGTTGGTGTCACAAAAACAGTGTCGCATCCCTAAAGGATGTACAGTCATTACTCCCAGCACAATGATACTAGAATTAAGTAGTTTTGCTTCCAAAAATGAAGATGCGGTACAACACTAAAAGTACCTGGCCTTCACTAAGACATTCAAAATTTGCAGTGCTTTGGTTGTGAAGAAATTGAATTCGGTCTTCTCCGCCAACTTTATGCCAACAAACATAAAAATCATTAAGTGACAAAAGATGATAAGCAAAGTAAGGAAGGATAGTAAAAGAGAGGATCGAACAAATCACTGAAGGAAGTGGCCCAACAGTTTTGCTGTGTCATAGCCCAACTATCGATGCATGCATTCATTAGCAAACATATTTTACGAACTGGAAGGCTAACACATGTTAAGAATCTTCACAAACTATCCTTGAAGATTATGCAAGTGTCAATCTGATCTTAAAGTATTTGATTAAGAAAAATCACACCTCAACAGTCATTAAAAGTCTGAACACACCAATAAGCCGTAGTTGGGCATTAAGAGTAGATTTCAAGCATCTGCTGGCGTCAATATGCTGTTGTCACGTGAATGCAAGTTGAGGCAACTTCCCACTTCCTCGACCCAAGTTATGATTTTCTCTTGCCATATATTATCAGGAAAATTCTCCATTAAGCTAATGGCAAGGTTAACACCATAAATGTTGCTTGGAGAACAGGAAGAAATTTTGCTACAATTGTTGTCAATGAAATAGGAAATTTTATGTGGATGTGGCAACCAGCCTATTAATATGAAAAATTGATAGGGAGATTGGACGTTTCAAGAACCAGGTCATTTGCTTTATAATATTTTCCCTCCTGGTAAGAAAATTGTACTTTGACGCATATAACCAACACCCAGCGTCATTTGAAATATGTGCTTTAGGGCCGGTTCTCAAGACAGCAGTTGTAAATAAAAGGTTTACCAATTTCACTGAACTAGCGGTAAAATAAACTATGGAATCTTTTGTAGGATTTGGTTACCGCATAAAGTGTTCCTTTTCATTTTTCTTCTTAAACTTATTCAACTTCCCATGTGTAGTGTTGGAATTAACATATTTCAATTGGACGTTGAATATCAAGAGCTTGAGCACATACGGATTTCCAGGGTACATTAATGGTGATATTACTGGAAACAACCTGAGTTACGTGTTAGGAAACCAAGAGACAACAAGAACAACAACAAAGTGGAAATATGTTACCTCTTATGCGACCATAATGTGATAGATCCACTACCTAGAATAACAAGCAGAAAATGAAATTGTTTAGAAATTAACCTATGTAAAATAGGACCAACTCAAATGAGTAAAATTTAACTAGAGCTGCTTATGGAATTAGGAACACCATCTCCCAATAAAAGAAAGGTATACTAAAGCTCATCTTTGCTAGCGCAGCAGTAGATAAACATGAACTCTTATGTTATATATATATATATAAATATATATATATATATATATATATATATAATAAAGCAGTTAAAAATCTGAACCGCAATTTTAGATACTCACAACGGCGCCCTTTTCAGCTGCATCCAGTGCCTCATCATCACTATGAAACGCCTCAATACTAATTCTATCATCTGCATTTGTCACGGTGTCCTGGGTAAACTACCAAAATTAATGAATTCTTTATTTAAAAAAAAAGAATCGAAATTATAATTACAAGCAAGGAAGCAGCAGTTAGTGATTAGGAACCGAACTTGACTAACTTACGAAGCTGTGGTCGTGGTCGATAGGAGGCGGGGAAGGATGGAATGGCAAAGCTCGAAAGGCATCCTTTAGGTGGGGTAGAGAGGGAAGCGATGACAACGTATAAGAGAGCAAAGGTTGCCGGCTCCGGCGGGTGAATCTATAACTAGTACTAGTAGGGTAGGACAGCCGCGTATAGTGCGGCGGAAGGACGGAGTACCGTGCAGGTGCAGAAGAAGAAGGAGGAGGAAACAAGTTGACCGGAGCTGAAGTTGCAGAAGCGGGAGCGGTACCCGTAATCCAAGACATTTTTTGTTTTACGGTTTTTGAAATTCATAATAGCATTTAAGTTTGGAGACCTTTTCGGTTATTAATTAACCATATAGACTAAGGCGGAAGCCCGGTGTCCACGTCGGACGTGGTCGTCCTCCGCGTGGCGAGGCGGGATTGGCTGGATGGTGACGTGGCGCAAAGTGATTGGTTGCCAAGTGTGCTTGTTGCACCTGATTTTTTCTCCCCTTCGTTCCTCGTCCCGTCTTTCCTTCCGCCTGTTTAGTGCTACTGTTTTTGTCTGCAGGTGTTCGGTTGGGGTCGTCAGCTGCCTCTCTGCCCGCTGTTCAGGCTCCTCTCTACCAACTCCAACCTGCTTCTTTCTTTTTTTCTCCGCCACATATTGGTGTTGTTTCCACTCCAAATTTTATCTTGGTCGCACCTGATTTTCCCACTGCTCTCTTCTTCGTTCGTCTTTCCTTTCGCTTGTTTTTGCTACTGCTGTGTTGTTTTCTGCCGCTTCTTTTTCCCTTTTCGTCCACACCCTCAGGCTGTTTCCCTTGGCCTTTACGCTTTCCTTTCCTTGCATTTGTTTCCTTCCACGTGCAACAGATGGACATACTGTCAGAGACTCAGAGTTGGTGAGACTTCCGTTGGGTTCAATGCTTCACAGAACCGTCCTTTCCCCTTTCTCAATCTCTCGCCCATCCTCTGCTTCTTTATTCAGAAAGCCCTCATCCTCTCTTCCTCTTCTTCATATTTTCTCCGAAATGGGTTCGATATTTTTGCTTATTTTGATGTTTTTTTGTTTAGTTTTTGTTTCTTTCTTTGTTTTCTTGAACTTGCAGTTACTCACAATCACATTTTGCTTCTCATAGATTGAGGACAATGGATTGAAAGTCCATGAGAAGGAGAAAAAAAATCAACTTTCCAGGTTGTGCTATTTTCTTTAATTTATTTTGCAATCTTTTTTCCATTTTTACTCTAGATTGTACCTTCAAATTTTTGTAAGAAAAGTTTCTGATTTCTGATCTCTTGTTTAGTGCTTTAGTTTTGCTACTGTTAATGATCTCATTTCTACTATATATTGGATAGATAGGGATCTCGTTTTTCTTCTAATAGATTGAGGGAAAAATGAAAGAAAAGTCGACAAGAAGAAGAAAAAAAGATTTAGCTTTTCAAGGTTTGAATTTTTCTGTAGTTTATTTTCCAGCCATTTTTCTAATTTTATTTTACGCTAAACTAGACCTTCAAGTTTCTGCTTCCTTCTCTTTTTTCTTTTTTTTTTTTTGCTTTTTTATTGAAGATTAAAGGTTTTAATTTCTTGTTTAGTTATTTAGTTTTGCTGCTGCTAATAGTCTTATTTTGCTTTTATGTCATATTTTGATTTCTGTTTTGTAGATTGAGGAAAAACGCAAGAAAAACTCACAAGAAGAGATAGATTTAGCTTTTTAGATTGTGATCTTTTTTCCCCAATTATCTTTGCAGATCACCTAAGATTCAGCTTTCAAGTTATATTCTATTCTTTGGTTTCCACAAAGTAGCTACGGGTATTATTTCTTAGTTTTGCCTTTTATCTTTACTACTGGCTTCTTAACACGGATGGTTAGGCATATGAGTTATAGATGGTACTGGGAGATCCAGTTTGAATTGTGTTTGGAATAGATGTCTTTTGTCATTACTTATCCATTGCAATAGTTGTGACTTTGTATTTAGAGGATGCATACTTTGCATAGAGTGGTGTAGTTGCATTTACAAGTGTCGTTAACACTTACCACTAAATGGCTTATGGGTGTCTGAGTTTTGCAGCAGAACCAAAAGTATTTATGCTGTAATTTGCTTCAGTACAATAATGAGTTTTTTGTTGAGCTTACGATGTCTAGTGTGAGGAAAAAGTGCCTGCCAAAACTGTGTTTATTTAGCCAATCTCTTAACTCTGATTTTTTTTTTTTGCCATCTCACCTTTTGTTCAATTTGTTGTATGGGTTCCAGATTTTTACTTCTTGCTCCATTTATTTGTCTCAAATATTCTGTGCAGAAGGCATTCAATGGAAAATGATATTATTTCTTAATGTTTATGTGCCATCATCCTGTATAAGAAGGAAAGATTTTTATGCATGCAGGGATTGTACTTGGTTCAGAACCCATGATTGCAATGTTTTTTTGTTTTTTCTTTTGGGTATTTTGAGTATCCAAAACTGATCTGGTGTTTCTAATAGGTATTTTGTGTTAAGCTGATCGCTGGTAGTGATAGGAGGGAAGCTGCTTGGATTATTCTCACCAGCTTTAACGCTACTTAAGTTTGTTCTATGTTTAGCCTTTTTCTCCTTAATTTGGTATGTTTAGTCTTTTGATGTACTGTTGTTTACTTAATGTTTCTTTTACCATGAGATCCTTGTAATTTTGTAGTCTCTAAATTTTTTAGTAAGAAAATTTTCATTTATTGAAGATTATTTAATACTTGATTTGAAATTGATTTGTTAGCTTGCTTATATGCAGTTTCAATGTATTGATGTATTCATCTTTTGGTTCATAGTTTGTTTCCCAGTGCGCGGTGAATACGAGAGGTTTGCTGCAATGGAACAAACTATTGTTTAGCTGGTACGAGAGGCGGATCTGTTCAGCCACCACAATTCTAGATGTCCAAGGCCTGGTATGTTTGTCATTTTGCAAAATTGGTTGCCATGGGGGCAGTGGTTCGTGATTCGTGTCTTTAGAAAATACCTTACTAGATAATAACATTTTTCCTTTGATTGGTGCCAACTTGTTTGTGCTATATGCGCTGAAAAAGCTTTTCAGCATTGAAGCAACTAATATTTTAGGATGGTATCAGTGTACTGTGCTTTTGACAGAAATTTACAAATTGTTGACTAGCTTGTACATGCTTCCAGTTCCTTTTAAAGACCATTTTTTTACAGTTGCATCGGATACTGTTGTAAATAACAGCAGGGAACTTTTGAACACAGGGAGTTAAAAAATTTTCAAGGACAACTGCTAATCTTTTGGCATCCATGACAAAAATTAACAACAATTACTATCCTGAGGTATTAAGTAGCTCCTGTCAAATTCAGTTTATGGAAATAAATAATTACTCTGTTAGATACAATTATTGGTGAATGTGGCTTTGGTTTTTCCCTGTAATTGTTGCAGACACTCCATCGGATGTTCATTGTTAATGCTGGCCCTGGTTTTAAGAAGGTGCTCTGGCCTGCTGCACAGAAGTTTCTTGATGCTAAAACTATTGCAAAAATTCAAGCAAGGCTGTGTGCTTCTCTCTCTCTCTCTCTCTCTCTCTCTCTCTCTTTCTACCTTTACTGTGGCTCAGATTCGATAAAATCACATTGTCCAAATTTGCAGGTTCTGGAGCCTAAGTCTTTGGGAAAACTACTTGAAGCCATTGACTCAAGGTTTACTTCTACTTTTAGGTCATCCTGTTTGTGAGAATTTCAATTATAGCATCCTGACTTTTTTTTTTTAATGTTTTTTCAGTCAATTGCCTGATTTTTTGGGTGGCTTATGCTCTTGTCCAGTTGAAGGAGGATGCCTCTCATCTAATATGAGTCCTTGGAATGATCCTGATATAAGGAAGGTAGGTACATGCTTACCCAGTGTACCCTGTATTTATTTGAATATGTTGTTCAGGTACTTTGATTTATGTTTCATATTATGCTTTAAAGCAAAACCTGATTATGTTTTATTTTTTGGGAGTTTGTGCTACATCACGTCAAGATGTATGACATTTATTGATTCAAAATTGCAGCTTGTATATAATGTGGAAACAAAGTTTGTGAGGCAGATTACTAGAGTATCTGGCGATGACCAGAAAGTTGACTTGTATATACAGACGTTCCCTTTGAAGGTAATTCAGATTTGAAAATGTCTCACAGGGTGCTCTAATATTTACTTTTCTTGCTGCGTGATGTGATGTCATTATGTAAACAGGGAAGAATTAGTTATACATCAGTAGTTCAATCAAGATTGGATGTAGATGATTCTTGTTCTCCAACTAGAAAAAGTAGCTTCACATTTCCGCGATTTTGTAAACCTCAATCCTAGCTTCACATTTCGTGAGGCTATATGTGCATTAATACAGCTGTCTGCTTTCGTTTTGTCATAATTTTTGCGTTTGCTTGCTTTGCTTTTGTTGCAGTTTTTTCTTTGCTTCAGAGGCATTACTTGCTCTGCTCTATTTTCTCCTGTATGAACAGGACTGGATTCACTGCTCGATTGATGCCTTGAGTTGTTGCTGAATCTGTCTGTATTTCACTTTTGTATTTCAAAGACTAGAACAATGGCTTCATGGAGCCCTGAGCCATCATGGTTATCTTACTTGGGAGGCTCGTATAATTTTCATTAATATGCCTGCATAATATAGTTCCATTTTATAGTTCCATTTGATTGTACTCCATTTCACTAATTTTCATTCTCACCAACATTACTAGCTAAACATTAACTGAGCATATACCACGCGGTGGATACCACCTAGTTTCAACTTATTTGTCAATTGAAGTCGCTCTCTCTCTCTCTCTCTCTCTCTCGATAAATACGTGCGCGCGCGCGCGGAGAGTCAGCTATTTTTCTTCATCTTTCTCCTTTTCTATTTTCGTTCAAAAGTGGATAATGATTTTTTTTGTTCTACATCCAAATAAATAAATGGTATCTGAACTTTTATACAAGGCGATGATGAATCAAAACCTTCTAAAAAAGAGAATGAAATGAAAACTTTATATGGCCAAACTTCATATTGCTGCTGAATAGTGGATCCTTACAAGACACTCGAAACGGCCTCCTCAAGAATAGTCGGATACTACACTTTGGCCATTAATAAATGAAACACAAGAATTTACACCCCCAAAAAGACAAAAACAAAAAGAAACCTCGCACGTCATCAGCCTCAAATAACTGAGCAAAAATAAATAAAGAATGATTGGTACAAATACATAAGACTTTTTTCTATAATAACAAAAAATAAATTGCAAGAAATGGCTTCATCTCCATGCTGGAAAATCGGAGACACCACCTGGAGGAAAAAAAAAAAAAAAAACCAACTGCAGGATAAGTGTGAAGGCGTGTAAAAGCTATACATCCAAGACAACATCAGAAATTTCAAGGAATGGTTCATAGCACTTGATATGTATTCTCCGGCTATTGGCCATGGTCTACAAAATGATCCTCGACATAAAAGCTTTCTAGCATGGAACAACTTTTTCTCCTTCTTACTTTTGTTTCCAGGGTAAGGTCAGCAGGTTAGGGCATGGCTTGGTCATCTGAGGTAATCCATTCAACAAGGCTCCAATGCCTAAGCAACACCACCCCCCACCCCCACCCCCCCTTCTCTCCTTCTTCACTCAATACTAAGTAACATACCTGTATGAGACCAACCAGCTCATTGTATTGACAACACGTATCAAACAGCCAAGAAAACTTCAATTATCTGCTCAAGTGTCAGCAGTTTGGAGCAATTGCAGCTAGCGCATTTGCATGTGCAGGTGAAAGATTTGCCAAAAGAGGCTGCATTTGGTGACCATACAATGAAATCAAGTGAGAGAAAGCTCTGCCTATATGAGCTTTTACTTCAGGAGTTTCTACAGGTGACACAGCAATTTGGGCAAATAGATTAACCAACTCTGGAACTAAAGACAGGATCTGCACAGCACCCAAATGATGTTAAAGCAATCAAGGCTAAAATACTTTATCAGGAAAAAACAAAGAGACGTGCTTCCACCAAATAAGATCAAGCCAGTTTTGTATCAACAGACAACCAACGAAAATAAGTACCTGGGAATTAGATGATAAAACAAGATTGCAAATGCAGCTATAAACAGCCAGGGATTCCTCATGATCTTCTTTTAAAGGAAGGACTTTCAAGAAAACAGGTAGGACCTGGATCCAAAACAATCTATGCTAAGAATTACAGAAGCAACTCAAGATCTTCTGAGCTGAAAGGCAGATTAATCAGCACATAAACCTGATTAAGTGGGATTGCCTCTGGATGCACCATTATCATCCTAGCTACAGCACCTGCAGCATTATCCCTTACTGCATTATCTGGCTCTAAGTCTCCAAACAACCGGTAAAGACTGCGCAAAGCATCACCGTAATATCTAAGTATAATTTAAGGAAAATGAGCAGAAATCTGACAAAAGCATCCCTCCAAAAAAAAAAAAAAATCTAAGCAGCTCGTAAGGTATTCAGTGCAGAAACAGCAGTTCAATAACAACTCTTTGACATCAAACAATGAAATGAAGAGCAACAAATGAAACACCAATGAAAGCAAAGAAACACTAAGGACTAATCATAGGAATGTAAAGGATACTTCAAAGCATACTCTCCACCATTTTTGCACAGCTCCCCAACACAGAAGGCCGCATTTCTCCGATTAGTTGCCTCCGATGATACCAATTCTTTGAGTATCAAAGGCATCACATTCTGGAAATGAATCAAGTTGTATAAATACCAACTCCAGATTAAAGAAACCCTACACTAACAAAGAACAAGAATTTCAGATACAACAATTACATCAATATAACCGGCAATAGGAGTGCCCATATCCTGAGCAACTTCTGCAAGACAGGCAACAACCATGGTCCGGTCTGGAGGTGGGCGTGAAGCTCTCTACAGTTAGAAACCAATTGAACGAATAAAAATCAGAGTATGAAGTGTCATGTGACCATCCCTCATAGGTAACAAATGTTCACTGCAACCAACTTACGGCAAATTTCATCAAGGGTTCAAACAGCTTAGAAAAAATGGGAGCAAAATTAGAACCCATGGCCTTTGCAAATGCAGGAAGGAGGTCCGAAACTGCATCCATGAGCACTTCATCGTGTTCAGGATCATCATCATCATCACTATCAGATTCCATCTGTTGACAAGCAGACTGCTCTTGGAGCAATGTCAAAGTGGCCTCCACAAGCAGAGGTATATCTGTAATCAAAACACAGGAGCCATGGGAAGGTGTTAAAACATTTTTTTTTTCTTAAAACAAACAACCAAAGACATAAACAGAGGAACCAGCAAAATTCATCCTTACAAGGCTCCATGGCCAAGTAACCAAAATCCTTTATGATGTCAGCAACACTCATGCAAGCTTGAGCAACAACTTCCTTGTCATCATCTTCAACCATTGTTTTCATGTAAATATTCATTACTGTGTCTGTTCGCAAAAAGAATGTAAGATTTCTCAGTTGGTTGAATATATCATCAAACTCTACATATAGAAGTTATTGCCGAAAATCAGCTTACCAAGGACTTCTTTTATCTTTAACATCCCTTCCTGCAAAGCAATAATGAAGCCTTATTACAAGATAGATCTTTTTTATCATTACAGAGATTATTAAAAAGGGCTCAAGTATAACACAAATATGAAGAACAACAAGAACTTTATAACAAGATGCTAATTGATAGTTGAAAAATGTGTAAAACAAAAGATGTGAATATTGAGCACTCCACCCGGGGAGTCATTGATTGATTCCTACTCACATTATGAGCTTGAAAAACTGCTTGTGCAGCTGTCAAAATATCTGCCAATACGAACAAGTAAATATCAGCTTTTCTTAGTTATTTTCATAAGGACCAAATGACTCTTAAGACAACTTCGCAATCAAAATACAAGGCACTGAAAGATAAAAGAAAAATGTGATACAAGACAGACAACGCAGGATCTCCAACAAAGGAAATGATAACCCCATCAATTCACCTTTTAAGCACAGAGAATGAAGAGGGGCTTTTATTAAATTTAGAAGGTTCAAGCATAATATCTCAAGATGTGTACCTCCAAAGACATAAAAGAAAATCTTACAACATTTCAAAAATGCATTTGGATAAATCATGCAGGAGAATTCATCATATTACACACGTGTATACAGAACTAGTCAACCTCAACTTTAAAAAATAAAAATAAATTAAAACAAACAAGTAGAGAGACCTCCAAAAGCACAAGCCAAGACATGCATATACAGCACTCACGTTTCAGACCAATAATAGCCTGGAGCCGCACATCCTCATGAAAATAGCTTGAATGTTTCACCAAGATCTTTAAAGATTCTTCCAAGTACCTTAAGATCAATCAAGGAATTCCAACATATAAGCAACTCATGTTTTACATGTAGAGGCAGTCTATAATTTTAGATCCACGAAAAAGCTCAAGGATACGGTGCATAGGAATTCTTTGTATGCAGAGCATATAAGCCAAGGGATTGTGTTGCAGCTGCCTTTTCGTCCAATACACCTGTTCTTATGCTGATGTTACGAACTCTTGGTTCATCATGTGCTTCGTCATCTGATGATACACCTCCGAAACTATTGATGTTCTCATCCTCTTCTGAATCAGCGATATCCACGGCAGAGCCATCATCAAGATTGCAGGAGGCAAATGCCAGAGGAACAACATGAGGAAGGTACTGTTTCGAGAAATGCATCAGCATACTGGTATTAAAGTAACACAACAGGATACCGTGGCAGGCAACCAAAAAAAAAAGTAACACAACAGGTGTAATATTGAAAACACTAAGGATACCTGCGTAAAACCTTCATCTAAAATTTCTGCTATATTGCTAAAAAATCCGTGAGTGTACTCCCTAAGCTCACTGAATTCCAACCCAAAACCCTGACACATACAGAACATATGAGATGCCAAGGGAACGTCAAAAGTCCAAAATATGAGTAAAAAGTTATTTGTTTAGTTACAGAAATAGCAGCTTCAACAAAGGGTGGTAAAATTGGCTCCATTCTAGTCCTCCCAACAGACATAGCAATCATTCCAACCAATTCAGTAGCCCTTGCTCGTGATCGGAGGTCCTCATCATTTGTTAGCACCATAAACATTTTCATCAACTCTAGAACCCTTTCAGCATAAGGAATGAAGGCTTGCTCTGCAGCTGATGCAACTGAACCAATTGCAGACTAATTCGGGCAAGGAGGAAATCAGAACAGATCACTTTGTAAATTTGTGTAAATACTACACATTAAGGCACTGAAAATGCATGCTTACCATGCATGTCTCTTGCAGATTACGCGGACTATTTTGAAGGGCGCCAAGCAACTTTCCCATCAAAGGGTCCAAAAAAGGAAGAATTTCTTCACCCATGTCCTCACAAAATGCTGCTAAAGCATAGTAGGACTTTTCCTGCATAATATAAATGAACAATTATTAGGTACACAGAACCAAAATTATTGGAATTAGTCTTCGTCTTGATAAGTATATACCTTAACCTCATCAGATACATCCTCTAGGGCATTCAAGATGCAAGGAAGAACAATTTCATAATGAGATACTATCTCAGGCTGCAGATGCTCAGCAAATTGACCTAATGCAAATGATGCAGCCCCCCTCACCATTTGTTCCGAATCTCTAAGAGCCCCCAGGACTATATGAAGAACAGGTTCCAGCTT